CCTAATAGCGATGCCCTTTGTTACTAGTAGCTTCTTGTTCCTAGTAGTATATTAGCTACTAATAGCGAGGCACTTGCTCCTAGGGATGCGCTTTGTTACTAGTAGCTTCTTGTTCCTAGTAGTAATGCCAGGAGCTACTAGTAGCGATGCACCTTGTTACTAGTAGCTTCTTGTTCCTTGGTTTCTCAACTCTTGCGGTCGAGTTCCGAATACCAAGAGACTCCCGAGTTGATCTGCTGGGCACAGTCGTAGTTGGCTCAGACACAACTCTGATCGCCCGCAGCTAGTCGCAGTTTGTGGCCTGGCTGCTATCGACATGAGACATCAGTTGAAGCCCATGCTACTGCCTTGTTTTCTCTGTTTTTTTCGACCTAGTTGATGAAATGATTGTGGCTCCAACATTCACAGGCAGAGTAAACAGCTTTGAAGTCTTCCTCACCATTCAGGTTGTGGGTGATATCTGCCGGTCAGAGTTTGACAGCCCCAACTGGCTGTGTGTGTGTATGTGCGTGTCAAGATCCTGTACATACCCCTGTTGTTACATCACAATGGCCCTCAATGGATGTTGATCCGCCCAAACATAGGAATGCGTATGTGCGGGCTTTGACCAATCAGTTCAGTAGGGAAATCGACAGTGAATGAGGTTGGTTGAGGGATCCCACTATCTGACTATCCTGCGATCCCATCTGGCATCTCCACCGTTCGCCCACCAGAGCATCCCGCCGAGGTGCGCGATGCTTGTCTCTGCGCGAGTGGCAGTGAGGCGCCTGGTGCCTTCCATGAGGCTTCGGGGTTTGCTTCGAGTTTGGCGATGTGATCCGAGAATTGGTGAATCCATAGATACCAGACAACGCGTCATGAGTTCCGCGCAATTATATGCCCATTCCTGAACATTGGAGTTGCTGAAGGCCTTTGCCTCGAAGCTTCAGCGCATTTGGTAGCACGTCATCTGCCTCTGTTGATCGCATTTTTCAGCTTTTTCAGAAGAAGCTTGGAGATGCAATAGTTCTGCTTGGAGATGCAATAGTTCACTTTTGATAATTGCTTTATTGAAGTTAAGTTTCCCTCCAACCCCACTGGAGCTTCAATCCTCAGACATAAGAAATCAGTTTGCGCATTTTCGAGGCATGGCTGTGGGGACTACATCGGTGAGGAGATCTCGCAGCTGGAGCATGCACTGCAAGCTGCAGACCTGGCACAGAGGTGGAGCCGCTGTTTTTCCGGCCACTGTTTTTGGGACCAACCCCCAGAGAGGGACTAACTTGTTTGTAGCCCGCAGGTGAATTCTGCACTTGATTTGGCAAAGCTGGTGATGAAGCAAAGCTGGTGTTTTGAGGTCTGGACTTGGACAAGAGGCCACTATCGCAGCGCTACTACATGATGTGGGACACTTGCTAGGCTGGACATGTTTCCTCATTGCCACGAAAATCCTGGCACCCTGCGAGAAGTTTGATGAACATGGTGGGACGAAGGTCACTTTGGATCTCAAACAGACCTTGTGGAGGTCTTGTAAGGCAAGCGCAGTGGGTCTGTTTCGGGAGGTCCTTCGATCGGTGAGGCTTTTTCACTGCAGGCATGGACGATCCCTCAAGCGCTCGGATGGAGGATTGCGGGGTGGTGGACCATGAGAAGCTCGGTGGTCAATGGCTGCAGAGCCTCGGTTTCTCCCAGAAGGTGTGCGATTTGGTGGCCCGGCACGTGGATGGTAAGCGTGCCTGATCTGCAGCTACGCGTTTGGGGAGGTGAAGGTGTGTGGGTGTGATAATAGACCAAAACCAGCAAGGGCATGCATTCTGGAGGGATTTCTTTAAAGATTTTGAAGCATTCTTGAAGGCGGCGGAGTTTTTGGGTTCACATCTTTATAATTACCAAGAAGATTTTGCACCATGTCGAGCTGCTTCAAGAGCAGGAGCCAAAGAAAGAGAGTAAAGTAACCAGACAGTGTATCCGTTTACAATCAGCTAGCAGAACTGAACATCTGAAAGACGTGCAAACACAATCAGAGTGACGTGCTTGATTCATGCAGGCTACCTATGTGCCGTGAGGAAAGACTACCACAAGACGCTCAGCGAGGCATCCAAGACCACCTTGAGACATCAAGGTGGCCCCATGACGGCTGAGGCGAGGGATGGCGAGGGAAGCGCAAGGGACCGGAATTGCATTCAGAAGAAAGGAGTATTTTGCATTTCTTTCACTCATGTTGATTCAATATGAATGAACATAGTTATATGATGTTATATGATATATGTTGATCCCATTATGTACCGGCCGTCGTAAGGTTAACACTGCGGAGGTTTGCGTGGCAAAGGGGTATGGCATGGAGGTATGGCAAACAGGGTCGTCAAGAATTTGGACTCGCTGCTGGCCTGTTAAAAGTAGCCTGCATTTATATGCAAAACCTATCTATATGAGACTATATATAATACTATATGATATATGCAGCATGGAATGCTGCTATGCATAAGTTGCGTGTTCAAGGAATTAGTTGCTGATCTGTGTGGTGAGGAGGCCAATGCCTTTGAGAAGGAGGAGCTGCACAAGATCATCGTGGCGATGCGACATTGGGATGAGGCTGCCAAGGTGAAAGGCCCTGACGCTTGAACAGTTAGGAAAAAGTTGGTTGGTGGTTAGGTGGAGTTTGTTAGTTGGAGACTCCTGGCTTGGCTTTTAAGGGTGAGTGGCTGGGTCAGCTGGGAGCTTTTCAGGCAAAGAGGTGCCAAGCCTGGAGACCTATCGAGAGCTCATCGAGAAGAACCTAATTCCTTCACCAGCTTAAGCCGCAGTGCTGCGGCTATGCCTTCTGGCTGCTCTTCACCCAAAGATGGTTTGAGTGGATCTGGGTGATGCAGTTTTGACACCTCACATTATGCTTGGAGCATTGCAAGTCGGGGGAGTCATTGCAAGTCGTTACCCGCAGCTTTTGTGGCTCGTGGGCGAAATCGCCCATGTAGGCTATGAAATCCGAGCTCGAAGGAGCTCGGATTTGGTCACTTCAGACCTTAGCAAAGCAAAACGACAGCAGCAGCGGGCTGGTGCAGGTTGCGAGACAACTTTGTATGCTATGGAAGCATACCAGCAGACTTCGGACATCATCGGAGTAGGGGCTTCCAGCAAAATGAAGGGGTCCTTGGCCCGCCGGGGTGGCTAAGGGCTCCTGGACTCATCATGATCCTCTCGCCAAACCGGGCTGCCAGGCACAGTCTTTCGGTCTTTCTCCCAGAGTCGAACCTTGGAAAGGAGCGCCGCAGCCGTGCTGAGGCGCAAGGGCTCGGCAGGGAAAGGGCCACTGACTACCTTGGGAAGAGACCATGACTAGAATCAAAGCCTTTGAAGATCATATTTGGATTGGACAAAGCATGACAATACCTATGGTTTGAGATGTTTGAGTCGCCCCCTTCCACATTCAATCGACAATTCGATCAATTTGCACGTAAACAGGAAGGGGGGCTGACCTTGACCATCTCCAGTTTTTGTCCGTTTTCTCACGATGAACCTAGAACAAAGCTGTGCGCAAGCCCCATGGCCCATGGCTGCTCATGCCTCTTGCGAGGTTGCCGTGGATGCTGGATTGATCCGGGTTCATTCAGAGACCTCCATCTTGGAGCAGCTCATGAGCCTCACGTCCAGCAGCTCACACAAGATGGGTCCCTTGGCAAAGGAGAAGTTTGTGATGAGTGCCGAACAGATTGTTCTTTTTACTCCAAGCAACATGTCATGTGCCAGAGCACCGGCTCCGAAGGTGGAGAGGGGTGGCATTCCAGTGCCAGCTCAACGACGGCCAGCCCCTTCTTTGGTGATGCTACTTGTTCACTGAAGCGAGTCACTGCCATTTGAGATGCTCAATTAGATCATTTGAAATCATTTTCACAGCAGTATTGAAGCAGAGCGTGGTAGCACTCAGACTGAGTCCACGATCGCTTCAAAGTCGTGCACTGGTCCGCACCACCCTGGAGCACAAATCTCCGCTCCAACTCTTGTGAAGCGCAGGCATCCTCGCCCCCACCACAGTTTGCCGCATCCATGGTCTGAGTCCCAGCTTGTTTGGCCAAACATAGGCAGCCAGTCTGCTTGAAGGCAAACATGTTTCTACTTATATAGAAGGAAAAACACAAATCGTATGAAAGACGGTCAATTTCTGTGCGATGGGTTGAATGATTGCTCCCCCAAAATGCATGCTGATGGGGAAGAGTTCATTGTGAGAGATCCTGAGCATCTTCCCAATCAAGGAGTGCAGCTCTAACCCATATGGCCAATCCGCTTCCGATTCATTTGCTTGTCGCTGTCGCATGTGAGGCATCTACACGTCATTCAGCCTGGGAGAGCGGAGGGAATGATACACCGCCAGCAGGAGCTTGTCTCAGTCCAGGTAGCAATTTGGTTTCAGATCGTGGCTTACGGCCATTGGGCATCAGATGTTGCGGACTTGTTGCGAGTTAGGGGAGTTGGCTGCGGCCAAGGGGGAGGGCTGTTTGCTTTGACGGATTGCTCAGGTCAGATGCGACATCAAGGCTGGTTGAATCGCAGAGTGCTGTTGAAGTGGTGCCTTGCTGTTGTTTGAATCTTCAAGCAGGTGATCGCACTCGGGACTTGGTCGGAGGGGTCGGGGGTCCCGAGCTTTCCGGGAACAGGGGTGGTGTGGAGAACCCGGGTGTGGACCGATAGGTGTGGGTTCGTAAGTGAGCTACAGATAGCTGGGTTCAACCAGTATTGGAAGGCTTCAGAATAGCAAAGACAGTAAAGGAAACCTTTGATTTTTGCGATTGTACAGCGGGGAATTTACAATCTCTTCATGAGTCCTTATATCCTTCTAGGCAGGTGGAGGAACAAACCCATTGGATGGGTTTTAATCGTAATCCTATTCCAAGGATGATGAACACGGACGATTGGGCTCTTTTTTGCTCCACTGATATCAGGGCCCAGCTCTTGACATTGTGACCTGTACCGCACAATGCAGGCGGACCATGGCACCAACGAGACTCTGCACTCGTGTGACTCAGGCAGCAGTGGTGGATGCTTTGAGTTCAGCCGTTGGGCACGACGTGCGGCACGACGTGCGGCACGATGTGAAAGGACCGGCTTCCGCAGAGGATGGATCCGCGGAATGTTACCTTTGCTTGACTCGTCATTGAAGAGCGTGAACTCTTGGGTCTTGGAGGGTGAAAGGAGGCTCTTGGAGGGTAGAAGTCAACCTCTTTCAAATTTCGCAAACAAAGCGGTGTTTGGGTTGAACAAATCATCAATCGGCCAGGAGCATGCTCGGCAGACGAAAGAAAAGACGAGGCGCAAGAACCAAATCACCACCAACCTAGCAAGCTGATTGATTGGCTAGATTTTGAATGATTTTGCTTGTAGGGAAGTCCCAAGCGAGCACGACGCTCCGGAGTCAACTTCGCATCCAAACCGAGCAGCCGACTTCTGCTCTCCAATCTCATCCTCCTTAGCCCGGCCAAACTTCTTGGAGCCTTAGGCCTTAAAGAAAACGGTCTGTCATCTTTGCTAGTGAGTCAGAGCTGGGCACTTTCACGAGACGAAGAACTCCGATACCCTCATATCGAGCATTGTGATCCAACGGTCAGAGATTCATTTTTTGTCGTTTTAGATGTCAAGAGGACTTGACGACTTGACCACCATCAACCTCAGACTATTGAGGCTCAGGAAGTCCACCTAAGATTAACTAAGATGCTTTGCGCAAAGATTCTGGATGGCAGGCTCCTAGAGAGGAGGAGATCATTGAAGAGGCTTGCTCGCACAACCTGAATGCAATCCAACCTTGTGGAGAGAAATCAACACACCAAAGCCTGGCAAGCCCAGCAGTACAATGTTCACGTAGTTCGGAACTTCATGTGTCCTTATCTACTGTGTCAGCAGTCTGGTCTTTTGTAGACCAGAAGGAGACTTGCAATACACATGCATGTACTCCTAGCTTTGGACTAAATGAGAAATACCAGCGCATCCCCCGTCTGGACACGCCATCTACAGACAATCTATCTCGTCCAGCCGTTCCGTGACGAGGTCACAGAGCGGCCTCTTCCGAAGCCCGCGCCGCGCACCAAGCTGCCCTCGCTGGGCGCCTCGCTCAATGGTGGCAAGGAGCTGGTCGCGAATGGCGAGCGTTCCCCCGATCGTCCGGGAGCACCCGAAGATCACGAGTGTGGAAAGGTAGGCGCCCTTTTGGTGGAGCATCGGCAAACGCCCGCAAGCATCAGCTCAAGTTGGGCCGTTGACTCGTTGACGGAGTTCGTGAAACTGTCGTGACTTTCGAGGTGTCAGTTCAAGGTGCGAGTTCAGCCTGGATGGAGAACGAGTTTAGACCAGTCGCGCAGATGCGTCCAGCTTTCGATTGGGGCTCATAAAGCAGACAAGGACACACAGCGCCCGGAAACTTGAACTTTAGAACCTTGAATCCGCAGACCATCCGTTTGCTAAACTTCTGACTGTATCAGTTCTCTTAGTGAGTGTTGGGATAATGTATGATAATGTTTTTCTTATGGAATGGTGGGGGATGTTTGTGGGAGATGCTTGTTTTGGTGATAGTAATTCGCCGACCCCATGTGATTTGTGCTCCAGGAATTATTGCCTCCACTCCGCGACGTGGGGTTGGCTGCTCATGACTGGTCATTGAGAGTTCATCAGTGATTGACAGATTGCTGGCGATGTCACAGTGTCCTTAGATTAGAAGAGGCGAAACACATGTAGCTGATAGAGCAAAATGAAACACGTGCAACATTTCTGTATGACACATTGCCCTCTACCAGCTGTTCTTGGTGGCTGTTGAGCTAGATTGCAAGGCTAGGGGGCAGCTTGGGCTCCCGCAGTGCTGCGGTGCCTGCAATTCATATTGCAGAGGAGGAGGAGGAGGAGGTGAACACAGCTGCGCACAATCTTCATGAAAACAGATGGAACCATGATCATTTAGGCCCCACAGGATGGGAACACTGCCAGAAGTAGCTGCTCGATTCCAAATCTACTAAGACTCAGACAAGACTAGACATTATGAGAAACACCACAGCTTTCAACTATTTTGCGGCATTCCCTGGTATGGCTTTCAGCATCTGTCAGCCTTCAGACAACCGCAGGTGTCTTTGGGTGAGCAATCTGGAGGAGCCTCCGGCGATCTATTGGATGAGGCCTTCCAGGGTCCTGAGAGCATAATGTATATGACGAAAGCCAGCCGATAGGCTAGGTGGGCAAAGGAAGTGAATATCAGGGGGTGTGAGGGGGTGGTTGCGAGGTGGTGCCTGGCGGGTGGGTGAACCCAGAGCCTTTGTAGGGGAGAGCGACCGAAAAGCGGGGCCAAAGTGTAGTAAAAATGCATGTTTATAAGGGCCTTGGTGATGCGAGTGATGCCAAACAGGTTTAATAGTATCACAAAGTTGCCAGGGTACCATTTAAGTGGCCTGTCCAATTGTGTGTATGGTTATTCCCCGGCAACCATGGACGCACGGCTGTTATCGTTTTCTGTACTGCTCCGCCGTAGAGACTAGCAGGCATGTTAAAACTGGCAGCAGTGAACGCGAAGAACGCCATCTAAGCAGAGACGGTGGGCCGAAACGCACCGAAGGGAACGGGTTCAACGAACAGGCCGTGTGCGGTGGTGCCCTTGATTGTTTAGACAGTTATGGGGAAGACAAGAAGGCACAAGCAGCTCGGAAGACTGCTCCGTGTCTACGAAGGCTGGCTTTCTCCCTTGTGAGGTATTATATATGCATGAAGAGTGATTTCAGAGGCTCAGGTGAACTGCACTCACAGCAGTTTCCCTTGGCTGTGTCCACACTTTGTCAGGTTGATCGGCAGCTTGCCAGACTGAATCGGCCTGGCAACAGAATAGGCCCTTGCAGAAGCTGCTGTCACTGTTCACCATGACTTTTTGGGAACCCAGGATGGGAACTCATGGACATCAAGCGCTCTTGTGGATTCTTGATTGACTTGCCTGGCATGTTTTGACTAATGATGATACTGACTCCTCCAACAAGAGGGCTATTTTGGTGCCCAGACAACCCTCAGACTAGGGATGAATTACCTTCAGCCTTGTCAACATCCAGGCCGCTTGCTGATGACCAGAATCATTAGTAGTTCATGACCTTGTCCCCAAGTACTGCTATGGTCCAGCTTGGTCTGCCAACTGCATTCCATCCTTTATCAAGTGTGGAGAACACGGCGAAGCAAAGCAAAGCATCTACTCTTTAGGAAAATGTTTATCTCCCAGTATATAGTTCATGGTGGTGTTGGGTGTGCAACTGTTTCATACTGTAACCAGATATCGCCTTAGCAGGCCATATGCCTGCGGCGGTGAGCAGAGAGGGGGATGGCCTTGAGGTGGGCCTCTTGACGGGGTGGAGTGGGGACTGAAGCAGATAACTTACCACGTCGGCGCAGTCACACTGCTGCAAACAAAGGTGAACTGTAAGTGTCATGCGAGCAATTTGTTTCTTGGATCGCTTCCTTGCTTAAAGTGTGATGCCGATGTATCTTGCGGAAGGCCTCTGCCTCTACAAGTGGTGAGGTCCGTTCCTCAAGGGTAGGTGGAATATGCAGCTAATTTGGGATCTTGATTTAGGCCCCTGAGAGAAACTGTTTGAGACAATATCTTCATACAGTACATTTGCACATAACATACTTTTAGCATGCTTTAGCCTGTTTTGTACGAAGAATGATTTGAATGCCACATTTGACATCAAAAAGTCAAGAGGTCGACCCTCCAAATATCAGGTCAGTTATTTTCTTTCAGTCGTGGGATGACAGTCATCGACTTCGGAGGGTAAGGTTGGTCCCTCGTTTTATGGAGATGGTCTTCGCTTTGATACAAGACATGTCCTCGAACCGCGAGTTTCATTCTGTGGAGTGTACAGGTTCATGTCGCATTGGTATTGCTTCCGTAGAGGTTCTGGCCCTTGTAGGTTTGCTGATTCTGGAGAGAATCATTGATACCTTGGCCACGGCGGAGTGCGCTTAACTACCCCTATGTAAAAATCTTGGTTTCATTAGGTTTGGTAAGGTCTGGGTGGTGCGCGGGGTGGTGCGCGGGGTGGTGCGCGGGGCGGTGCGCGGGTTGTTCTCGGCAATTTTGTGGTGCGCGGGGTGGTGCGCGGGATGGTGCGAGAGGGGGAAGATCCGCGGGGAACCGCGGGGATCTGCGAGGAACCGCGGGGAGTTCCAAAACACCCTTTTGCTTAGCCTACATACGAGCAAAAACAAGAGGTAGAATCCGGTTCCCGCGGATCCCCGCGGATCCCCGCGGATCCCCGCGGTTCCCCGCGGATCCCCGCGGCTCCCCGCGGATCCCTGCGCTTCTCCGCGGACAGCCAGCCTATTTTGTAATCAATAGGCTTTTAAGCAGTGGTCAACTGTAACATTGGCCAATGGTGTCCGCGCAAATCCGCGGGGAACCGCGGGGATCCGCGGGGAACCGCGGGGAACCGGATCCTACTTCTACCGCTTAACCCCCGATGTCTTGTCTGCGCACCGCCTCGCACCACTCCGCGCACCACTCTGCGCACCGCAAAACTTAGGACAAACCCCAGGCGTTTTGTTCGCGCACCACCCCGCGCACCACCCCGCGCACCACCTCCACACACCCCCAGGGCTCCAAAAGCGCAAAACTAGTGAAGCGCACCAAGCTTGCGTCAATTGATACCCTTTTGATGTTTCTGTTTGGATCAACTCACCACTTCAAGTAACACCCAAAGCCTGCCAAAACAGGCTCTTCTGTTGTCTTCTCCATTGACTCAGTGTATCTCCGAGTTACTTTTTGAAGTGCACGAGGGACACGACGTGTCTGATCTGATGTAGTGCAGAGTGAGGTGATCGTTTGTGATGTAGTGCAACAGTGCGTTGGGTTCTACGATTTACGATGTTGACGACATGTATTGAGAAAGAGGATGAAGAAACCAACATTGTCTCTGGGAAGTATCTCCAATGACAGATCTTATACAAGATATTCATTAAAGTCAGCTCCCATTCACCCATTCTAATCGTAAAACTTAGATTTTCCAAGAAACACTATTCTTTTTCGACTCTTCATCTTGCCCTAAGGTGGGTTCTTCATTGTTAGTATAAAGATGTTTTCTTGGATTTACTTGTAGCGGCGCTGACGCTTCCCAGTGTTTTTACTTCTTTTTGACACATATGTCCACCAGCTAGTTTTCATTCTATAGCTTCTGATGGGGTATCCCAGGGCTGGGGGTCCCGGTTTTACATCTAGAACATGGGGAACCCAACCTGAGCCCCGCTTGAAATCTGTATGGGGATGATATTGAAGTGTCAAGACACACACTGGACCTCAACAAGTAATATTGGACAAAAGGATAGTTTATCCAATCCCAACAGATTGCTTTTTGACACACACACATACATACATACATACATACATACATACATACATACATACATACA